ACCCTAACCCTAACCCTAACCCTAACCCTAACCCTAACCCTAACCCTAACCCTAACCCTAATCTGCTCGAGCCAACTTGACGTGCCTACGCCAAGACCAGTGTCCCACCGTTCGGCACAGCTAGCGGCTCGGCCGTCTGGAAGACACGCTCGCCGAAGTCCTTCCTTAGCTGCTGCCGCCCCCATTCGACATCGTGATGAACATCGCTCAACCAGTAGCCTATCAGCCCGCCGTATTTCAAGTTGACCAGGTCGCCCGTCCGCAGCCAGTATCGCGCCTTAGTCTCGTCCGCAATTCGCACTGCTTGCTCCGCGCCGAAGACGGTCAACTTATTGAAGAAGAATGCCTGCTTCACCGGTGCAATCAGCGCCAGTATGACAGCCGGCGGCTCGAGCGCCGCTAACGCCTGGATGGACCTCTCGCTCGCCGCGATGCCGTGCGGCGCGTTAAGGATGGCCTCGGGGCGCTTCGGGTCGGCCGATGTGATAATGACGAGGCCAAAATTGTTCAGGTGCGTCACAGCCGGCGCAAATATCGTCAGCCAGTCAGGAAGCGGTGCGCCCGGGTGCGAAGCCTCCTTCCACGGCGCTGTGCTTGGATCGAAGCCGCCAGCGATCTGGACGACCGTATTGAAGTGACCATAGCCCTGCACCGACCGTGCAGCGGCACCGACTGCAAAAACAGGCGTACGCGGCGCAAACTCGAGCAGGCTCGGCTTGTCGGTGTGATCTGCGGTGACAATGGTCAGCGCTATAGCATCGACGGCTGGCGCAGCATCGGTCGGCACGAGCACGTGTCCCGCGGCGGCTTCGATGTCGACAACGGCGGCGTCAAGCTCGACGCGTGAGGAAATGGCTGCTGGGGCACCGAGATCCATTCGGAGCAGCAGCCCGGTCAAGCCGACAGCCGACTGTTCCCCGAACCACGGGTCGATGGCGACGTGGTAGTAGGCTTTCTTAGGACCACTGGCCCGCTCGGCTGCCGGGCGTGGCAGCGAGATCAGCCAGGAGACATCACCGTTGATGAATGTAAGGATGGGTCGCATCGGCGCATTGGGCTTCCCGAAGTGGTCGTGCAGGGACTTGACTCTTTCAGAGGCCACAGAAGACATGATGGAGATTTGTCTCGTGCTTCGTCAGTGCAGGAAAGAGGAGCATGTGTTTTGGGACTATAAACTCTTGAAGAGGCCCGCGATTAAATCGTTGTGGCATGAACAAGCAGCCCTCTCTTGTTGGCGCGGAAATACCTTAAGGACAGCCCTATGGCGTGATGTCTCGGCGTAAGCGCCATGAAGTCAATCATGCGCGACGCTGGGCAAGCGAGCTCGTTTTGCCAAGATCCGAGATCATCTCGCATTTTGCTGACCTGCTGACAGTTAGGCCTCAAATCTGTCGGCGCTCATGCCATACTGTACTTCTCAATCAGTAATGTTTCATCTAGCCTCAGCGATACTCGAGCAGCGGAGGTCCAAGTGCACCAGATAAGTCAAGTCCGGTGGACAATTCATGGTTCCAAGACTATTCATGGGCTTATGTAGTCCTCAATAACTTCGGAGTCAGCGAGATTTGTCTCTTGGGACGCGACAGGCGGGATGTGCAAGGCGCTGCGAGCTGGCGCGATTCGGCGCGGTTGGTGGCGACAAGTCCATTCATCTGAGTTGCGGCTATGAGGCCTACGTATGGTGAAGCTGCCATCACCACGGAAGCGAGGAAGGGAGTCGGCGACGTCGCGGGAGATTGAAATCAATCTGTTACAGGCTCTTGTTCGGCGACGCGTGCTTGTTGCGGTGACATCAATTTTGCCCGAGGGCGGCCACCGAGTCGTTGGGGAGTCACCCCAGACTCACGCGCTCTGGCTCAATAATCGACGCGTCTTCGGTGCTGCAAGATGGTGCAGTCTCGTCTATTTTGCGTGCGAGATCTCCCAGACACTCCAGAGACTGCGTGTGCGTCGTGCCGTAACCAACGATAGGCTATCGGCGGGGCTGTGACCCTCACGAAGACAACGCGACAGGCCGGGCACCAATCTCTCGTTGTGAGAAGACCACATCCCGTCCGAGCATACTCTTTTTGCGTCCAAGAGGAAGCTCGAGATTGCGACGAAGTCACCGCTGACGAGTACTGTGAGTGATAGAGCGACAGAACAACGCGGGGCGCAGTCAAAGTTGGAGATAACAGCAAGGCAATCGTGATTGCCTTCGAAGCTTGGCAGATAAACAACCGATGTCGTCAGCGCGCGAATCCCAGCTTCCACGGGCAAATCTTGTTCTATACTTTGCTTCTTGTCACTCGGACTCGCATTCTTCTGCTCGGGCATGCTACGCAATCGACCATGGCTGGTCGGCATTCCTGATGTATGGACTGAGGCCATCTTTGTCCCTCATGATCTCCGCTTCGACCTGACCGTTGCCCAGAAAAGCCCATGAGTTCTGCGCATTATAGCGGAAAGCGTAATGCTCCCAGCGTACAAGCTCCATCGTCTTGATGTAGTGCAATGCCTGAAGCAGACGGTCAGAAGCAGTGTTACCTGGAAGCGAGTTGAGAAGGAACAGGTACTTACCGAACCACCCCATGCCATCACCTTACCTCCTGCAGCCTCGTTCTTGTACCAGCTGGACATCTACCGTCAGCATCACGATGCGTGAAGGAAGAGATAAATGGACGGGACGAGACGCTTCTTACCTCGTGCAGTCTGCTCCCCATACGGATCCCTTGTGCCACTCATCTGCGTGCGTATAGAGGTCTTTGATCGGCTCGAGCTTGACTTCCAACGCGCGAATGTCTTCGGACTGAATCCTGCTGACACACTGAAAGATATAATCCAGGCACGCTTCAATCGAGTTCAGCGCCGTGCCGACCGTCCAACTACCCAAGACGCCATTAACGGTGAAGTAATTCGGAAATTTAGGGACCGCAATCCCTAGATAGACGTGAGGATGTGGATCGAACTCCCTCGCCATGTCAGCACCATCGACACCAATGACTGAGAAGGACGGTCTGAACGAGACGTCAAATCCAGTCGCGCATATAATGGTGTCAACTTCGTGAAGGTGTTGGCTATCATCCACGACCCCTTCTGCGGTGACCTTCACAATCTCCTTGTGAACTCGTGTTACGTTGTTCTTAACGAGAGCCTCCAGATAGCCCTCTCCCGGAGTCAGTCTACGACATCCGGGTGGCCATGTCGGTATCAGCTTCTGCTTCAGTTCCTCGTTCCCAGGACCAATACGACGATGCATTTCCGTACGCATACTCTCCTCCGCCTGTTTGGAGGCCGGCGAGTCGCGGAGGAACATATCGAACATACCGTTGAAGTCGGCCTCAAGCTTCTTGCGATACATCAAAAGTTCCTCTGGATGCTGTCGCCAGTGCTGTTTGTCGCCCTCTGAGTAATCATTCGATGAGCCGGAACTGGAGCCTGGCGTCAGACTGTCGGCCAGGAACGGCGGCGATATCCACGTCACGGACCGCATAAATGAGACTAGTTGCTTGACCTTCGGCTGGATCTGAGGTACGATTTGAATCGCTGAGGATCCTGTACCGATGATAGCAACTCTTTTTCCATCGGGCTTGATGCTCTCATCCCAGTTCGCACTATGGACTAAAGTCCCGTTAAAGTCATGCAGTCCGGGGATCGAAGGCCACTTCCACCTGCTGAGAACTCCGGTGCCGTTGATCAGAACATGACACCAGTCGGTTGTTACGCTGCCGTTTCTGTCAACAGCTAGCCGATATATGCCTTTGTCCTCGTCCCAGACCGCCGAGAGTACCTTGGAGTTAAGACAGATGTACTTGTTCAAGTCATACTTTTCGGCGAAGTTCACAAAGTACTGCTTGATCTCTGCGGATCCTGCATAGTAGGATGACCAGTCCGGATTTGGTTCAAATGAGTAGGTATAGATGTGTGCAGGTCTGGATTTGCAACACTCGTCAGCAACGTAGCAAACGACCTGACATGAAGTTGACTTGCTACCTACACGTCGCACGCGCACCCGGGATACTTATTCTCATGCCTATGGCTTCTAGTGAGCGTCCATCCGACGGTATCAGGGGCTTTGTGCTCACCAAGTCCCACCTATATCAGAGTTCCTGTCGACATGTCAGCCCCTGTGAATAGCTTGGATGGAGGGAGGATCTCTGGCTAACTTTTCATAGATGGCCAGCTCAACGTTCTGGAGCAGCTTTTGCGTCTTGTATGCTGCGAGCAGTCCCGTCGCTCCTGCTCCGATAGTGATGATCCTGAGATGGCGGCGTTTGGAGTGCCATGCTGACTTGATATGGTACTGCGGCACGCCAGCGTCGCCCATTTTGGAGAGTCGCTTTTTGCTCTGTACGCCAGGCGTCCTTGCGCTGGCGGGGTGGTGAATCGTGTTGGCAACCTCAGTTACATATGATATGCCGGAAAGAAAAGACCTTTACGGCGAAATGATAGGTCTCCTGCTACACAGCGATGATAACGCCAGTGGTGCATCCGGAATCATCAAACCATTCACACGGAGGTGCTTGATTCAGATGGTCCACAGTCTCTCGAGCCCTCTGGAATACGCATCAAACGACGCCGCCTCGGCCAATTCAAAATGACCACAGTCTGTGCTTCGTAATGTCTTATCTCTGAATCAGGATGTGGACTAAGTCTCCCTTTCCTCCACCCATCGTCCGATACTGGGAGAGCTTGAAGTTTCTCAATTCGGAAAGTCGATACCTCTTCGGGACATTGTACATGGAGTACTACACTTGAGTCCATTGCCATCATCTGGAAGTCTCAACGCTTATCTGTGGAAGACTTGTCATCACGTTATGAAGGACTCTACGATACGGCATTACAGGCACGTCAGATGTCCCATCACTGCTACAGTGTACTGACTGAATGTCCACTCGCACAGGCCGGAGGCGGGGGAATTTGGAGGGCAGGAAGAAAGCGCTCGGATGGGGCAGATCTAGACGGAGAACGCAACCGCCTTGTTCAATGCGTCGCAGTATGGGACGTGGCGCTCGGCTTGTGCGCAGGGGGTAGTTGTGATACAAAATGTCGACAAAAACTTGTTGGTGAACGAGAGACTTCTTTGTTATGTGAGTAGAGTACACAATGGCCCCTCCATCAACAGACTCCTTTGGATGTGATGCAGTCGACCACAGCGGTCACTGACATTGTTGAGGAGCTTCGCTGAATGTGCCATAGAATCGTGATTCCGCTGAGCCGACCCTTACACAACGAACGATTCCACGTCACCTGCCCAAATGCTTCAAATTCAGACCAGTGACGGCCTGGGAGCTGACTTGGCCCGTCACTATTGCGATCTACCCCTGAAGGCTTTCCGAACCCCGAAAAAATGTTTACTCTCATCCTATCGTTCAAGCCATGTAGCGAAAGCGTGGGTTTTCGCCATCCGTGAGGTCCTTGGCGGCATCTTCCTGCTGCGATGCGTCGTTGAGCACTACGTCGCCAGGGGTATGCGCACGCTCACGGAGACGATTTTCTCTGTGAACTACGAAGACATATGCTAGCATCAGGACGATGGCAGCTCCGAAGCATATTGACGTCGCGTTGAACCCACTCTGCAATCACAGTCAGGGGTGTCTGCAACGGAGGGCTTCTTACTCACAGGGTATTTGGGCTTCTCTCGAGCGAAGAACAGGAAGGGCCCAATGATATTTCCGGAGCAGTATGCGACGAATGACATCGCCGTAGCCACAGTCTTCTTGGTGAAGCCGGCCACATTCGAGGCAATCAAGGACAGAGCAATTGCGACGGTGCAGGGATATGCATAGAAGAGCAGAAACCCGACCAACTTGCTGCCAAGATTTGGTCCAAACCGAACGAGGATGCTACCGATCAGGCTGGAAATCTTCGGTTAGCCAGGAGCTGGATGAGCATTTGAGCTGCATGCACCTACCTAATGCAGCACAGGACAACGCATACGAAGCCTCGGATATTTGTGACACGCGTGCAGAGTAGAGTTGAGCTGAAGGCAACCACGGCCGTGAGTGCGCCTAGCGCAATATTGAACAGGTTGGTCTGGTAGACGTCGAATCCGAGTCCGACAAGAACGATCTGCGAGAACTAGACACGGATCAGTCAATCATCGAACCGTTCGGAATGAACAGCATACCGCTGTGATAGAGCTGTTACAGATGCAGACTGCGACCAGATAAAAGACCAGCAACCACACTTTGAGGTCGGTCATAGCTTCTCGGAACTGGTACCACTTGAAGTTGCTGGTCTTGACACCCATTTCGTTGACCCGGACTCTGTCAACTGCTCGAGCTCTTTGAGATTTTGAGAGGAAGCGGGCGTTAGCAGGCGTGTCTGGCAGTAGCCAGAACATCAGCGCGGCCCATACCAGACTGATCAAGGCAAGCGTAATGAACAACCACTAGATGCAACTCTTGTTAGTCCAGACATCTTGGGAGCAGTATACTGTGAGAGCGTGACTCACCCTCCAAGCCCCCAAGCCCTTTTTAATGTGAGCAATCCCGAAGGAGATCAGCCCTGTGAGCGCAATGCCTAGGGAGGTGCCCATATACCAGTAGCCATGCCTCAACGCGTGTTCTTCGCGCTTGTACCACATCCCGAGAATCAAGCTGCATCCAGGAGCAACGGCAGCTTCAGTGAAACCAAGGAAAAAGCGTACAATCATAAGGCCTGCGGCGTTCTTGCAGGCAGCATGGACCCCAACAGTCAAAGCCCAGGCCAAGCTATAGGTTTAGCAGGTCAGCTGTGTCACACTCCTACTGAGTGGTACCGGGTTGGGGTCTGTGAGCTTACAAGGTCGCCGAGAGTACTTTGCCAATAGGGTACTTGACGAATAGGTAAGGTACAAGGTAAGTGAACGCGAAGTATCCAAAGTAGAAGATCGAATTCGCCCAGGAATACTCGGTGCCTGTCAGATGCTTCACGTTTATCAGAATATGATGCGGGTCTCTCCGATGGTACATACTAGATCTGTGACGATGCCGAGGATAGATGCCGCGGGCAGGGCACCCTTGTCGATGAACTGCAAGGCCATAGAGAGCGCCAACATGGGACAGAGCCTTGATATATATCTGTCAGTTCATTGGAAGCATTAATCTGGTACTCTAACTTACCACAAGTCAATCCGCCGCACCAATTTAGGGTCGTTGCCATCGTCGACAAGGGATTCAAGCTCGCCTTCGGCCACTTGGTCAGGAACAGGCTGCTTGAGGTCCGACGCGTTCGTTGTTGCCATGCCGTCTGCCACCTTCACTGTGGCCATGGTCGGAGTTCTGCGAAGTGATATGGAACCTTTCAAGGCAAAGAATCGTAACTGAGGTGTATATGTGGACAGAGCTTGTCTTTTGGTCCAGAGGCCTTCCTAGGCATATATACTTCGCTCGAGTGAGTGCAATTCCTTACATGAGCGTGCTCTGCCCTGCCAACCTTCTTATCTAAACTTTCCCCATACTGCGGGTCCTAAGATGCTTTGAATCCCCCACAGATCACCGAGAATGCGACTTATCATTGCTTGCTACTTACCTGCTCCAAGCCAAGGACTTTGGAATCATTGTCTTGAATTTCAAAGAGTGAGGTAGTAGGCATGAGGTGGGTGGAAAGACTTCCGAGATTTCGTGGCTGACGGCACGAGGGGGGATCGAGCTAAACCGAATAAGGGCTTATGTGCCTAATCGGGCATCGGTCCGGCATTGTTCGCAGCCATCCTAGGTGACTTACTATGGCCCATTCATCTGGTCTGGTCTCTCAGTGCGACCATCAGCTTCTGGACCTTCAACGGCAATACTTTCGTCGCCGACGGCCCATCGACTATTCGTCACGGCACATTCAGACTTTCTGGTCGACCCACGTGTCAGATCCAATGTATGTGGAACACTGAATGCACGCTTACTGATCCTGTATGAGGAACGATGTCACGACTGACGGGTGCAAGTATTGAATGTGCGGGATGAGACGCATAAAAGGGCCGTACCTGGGTCAGAGGCGAGGGTTTCTCCATCGGATCTGACAAGCTGGACAGCAGCATCGATCAATACGAAGCGAATCAATCATGCCAGGTATCACTACTAGAAGAGTCGTGACCGGTGAGGCAAATATGAACCTCGTCTTGTCCGATCCATTCATCTGACTTATCGCAGGCCACGATGCGGATGGAACAACTGTATTTGTTGATGATAGAGAGCTGACCTCCCTGAACCCACGAGACAATGAACCACAGAGCGAGGATTCTACGGGACCGCAACAATGTACAAAACCGATGGCGTCTTTCCTACCCAGAACAGCCATACACTGAATGGTATAAGAAGCCCATCGGGATCACTGATCCAAACGGTGTGATCTGCCGGACCATTGTCTTTCCACCTCAAGGCCCTGTACCCGATGAGCTCAATTGTATGCACCGCACGCAAAGCATCGATTTTGGCATTGTCATAGAAGGTCAGATCGAACTACTCCTCGACTCAGGCGTGAAGACCACAGTACAGAAAGGAGGCGTTGTCGTGCAACGCGGAACAAATCACGTACGCATTGTCCTCTGCGAAAATCAGTTCTGCCTGCTGACATCGGACTAGCAATGGATCAATACCTCCAAGGAACAGTGTGTGATGGCGTTTGTGTTGATACCATCAAAAGATAAGGTTAAGATTGAGAAGACGGGCGAGGTTTTAGGCCCTACCGAATTTCCCGATTATTGACGCTTTGCGCATAGGCGCTGGTCAATTTGCGCTCCGACCGCAGCTAGAGAGTTGAGTCTTAGCTTACGTAGCACTCACGAATCCTGATTATTTGACATGCCGTTCCCGTACAATCACGCATGCGACATGAGCTTTTCACCCTCGAGCTGAGTTCGCGAGGCCCGACTACAGAGGCACACGAGAATTACGGTACGCAGCGAGCAAGACCTTCGATTGATCATAACTATATAGCACTCCAGACCTCGTCAGGCTTCACGTTCATATGAGGGATAGGTTCAAAGTTCGCCATCAATTCGGAGTTGCAATTTGATCTTCAAACCACCCTAGCATCACCTGGTTTGCGTAGACCGTAGCCCCAAGATGACAATGTGCGTCGGCCGACTCAGCCTTCGTGAACTGTTTGTAAGTGGCCAAGCTGCCCAAGCCTTCAGCTACAAGCTGAGGCTGTTCGGACTTGATAAATAGGTCCCCCTCCGCGTCGCCTACAAAGACAGGACTCTGGACCTTGTCCAAGAGACCAACGAGAGTCATTCTTCTGACCTGCTGAAGGGCTTCATGTGTAGTTTTGGTAGCATACGCCCATCGGAGCTGATTCGTCAGCCAGCGTAACTTGGTGTTTGTGCGGCCCTCCTCTTCAATTTGTCGATGGAACGCATCGATATCGCCAGCCGCTTCGTACTGCATAGCCTTTTCGCCAATGATGATCTCAACACCATGAGAGACATCAAATATGGCGTCATTGAGAATGACGGCGGCGAGCCGGTGTTCAAAGGCTGCAGCCCGCACGGCTAGATATCCTGCTAATGACACGCCGAGGAGACCGATCTTCCTTGGGTCGACAAAACTTTGTGGCTCAAGCCAGTCCACAATGGGGCTCACGACGCGCTCCCACTCATTGATGAAGCCCATTTTCTGATCTCGAATGGGAGTGGTCTGCCCCGGTCCTTCGTAGAGGACAACGTGATAACCTCGCTCAAGGGCGGCGAAGCGTGAAAGTGAAGCATCTCCTCTTGCGAGCCATCCAAGCCGTTGCTCATGATCAGAACTGGCCGTGGGCTGTCACCCGTCGTAGCTCGTAGCAATATCAAGGGAATTTTGAAGTCGCCCGCATCGAGGGTGAATCGCTCCGCCGGTGTATCAAGCAGGCTTGCGGCTTTATCAAAGTAGCTGGTCCACAGCTTCCAGGTGTCAAAGTTGCGCACGTCTGATGGATCCCCGGTCAGAAAGAACGATGACGAAAAGTGATAGCGCGCAATCCGGAAGTACGCGTCTCGCAGAGTGATTTTGTCGTGGACACGTTTCTCACTGATCGACGACTCAACCCACAACGCGAGTTTATGGAATTCATCGTACCAGCTCTCGAAGTCTCCAGGCTTGATACGCTCGCAAACATTCAGCACCTCAGCGACATCTGCTCCGTACGTCCTCGTGGTCGCAAGTACACGCAGGAGTTCGAAGTGGAAATGATGATCCGAATTGAGCTGCAGCATGATGGCTGATAGGTCCCAGAGCTGCCAGAAGTCGTGCTTCTTCTTCTTGATGAAGTCTACGTGTCATCTTCAAGACTGGGCTTGAGGTGTTGTTTTATCTTGTCGATTGCTCTTCTGATGCGAGCGATGCTACACATCCTCGCTGGACGGAATCAGCTGAGAAGCTGGAGAAACAAGGGGAGCCCGCCTATGGACAGCATTGTTCACGATCTCATCTACTATGCCGAAAGCAGCATTGGATGGCTATAACGGGCCTAAGGTGGCTTGCTCTGAAGCCTGCTCCCACTCTTGCTGTGCCGCTTTCTGGCAGGCCGCCCCGCACGACCGCCAAGGAAGACCCTGAACGTGGCGAAGCTGAAGTACCCATCCCTCTTGCATCTTCCTCGCGACCTCGATGACATTCGCAGGAACTACCACCGTCCAAAACTGCCCAAAATGGCACTGAGATTCCCGTTCAGGCCGAAGAGCTTACATCCAGGCTGAAGTACGAGGCTCGTGAGGTTCCATTTCGATATGGCGAACCTCAATGAGGGATCCCTTACCTTCATTCCGATGGACTCACGCAGTAAGTCCGCACAAGAAGCAATACGGTCCATGTGATGCGACAGCGGCACCGCAGGACCCGTCTCAGCCGCAAGGTCCCCGAGGCCGGGTCTTCACTAGCTGCATTCGAGAAGCAGCTGCTTTTCTGGCAACCCAACCCAGCAGAGAAGCAAAAGCGTTGTACGAGTTCTCCAAAGCGTCCACCAGGCCTGCGAACGGTCTCTACCTCCCAGGGCGGCTACGCTCAAGGCCCCAACAAGAATAGCGACAAGGACTCTGGCCTCCGCGGAAATGGCAGTGTAGCCTTTCCATCGCCGACATCGGACGACACTGCCGCATCTGAAGATGCGGCGGACCTCGTACACTACTCAAGTGGACAGTCCGACTTGGAAGACGGACAGTCCGATGTGGAAGAGATCTTGATTCAGTATTGTACGGTGACACTTCCACGCTCCGTAAGTACCTCTACTGATCGCTGTTCCAAGATCTCCAATATGGGGGTGGGTCAAAACTGCCCCAGCAGTTTCTCCGCGCCTACCGCGAGACTCCTGCGACATTCAATGCCTTCTTGGCCCTGATGTCAAACAACTTCACGGACGAAGAGGGTCAAGCAGCACCCATAGACTCTGCCGAGCTCGAGAACAAGGCCCTCCGCGAGGTAAGCGCGCAGATTTCACATTCTCCCAGCGCTCCAGCCTCCAGCACTATGTTGGCAGTTGCAGTACTAGCCAATCTACGAGAATGTCGGCATGAGTATGAGCTGGTGGACTGTCATTGGAACGCTCTTCGCAGGATGATCGAGATCAACGGTGGCATCAATCGTCTGAGAATGCACCAAGACCTCTACACATTCATTCTGTGGCTGGAAGGAGTTGTGTTGAGTACGGTGGTAGCTTCGGTTGCTCAGCTCAACACTCCTTCCTCACGAGGCGCTCCAGAACCAAACGAACTCGAGGCATTCCTCTGTGCGATTGATCAGTCCCTGCGGAGTCGCACAGATATCTCGTCACGGCTAAGCCCACCCCTTCTGGCAGTTCTTCAACGACCGTCACACAAACAAGATCGCTACTCGATTGGCAAATGGTGGCGAGGTAAGTTCGCAAGTCTCATTTTCTTCGTTGCGCTTGATCAATTCCAAACGTCTACGCTGTGCGTGGATCACTGTTATCGGACCATAGAAGCCGACGTTAGGCAGCGGGAGCAAGAGTATACTGTGTACCCGGAAGAGTTGTACCTCGTTGTTGCCCGAGTGACGAACCAGGACAGTTTCTGCCCGCTGATGTGGAGGGTTGCTCGAATCTTGTGCGCTGTGAAGAAGCTCCCCGGAAGGGACAGGAACACCTGCTACCGGCTTCTGACGGCCTACCTTGGATTTGTTGACCCTTTTGAGTCGACATTGCTCTTGGAAGAGTGCAACGAACTTGTAAAAGAGCTCCAGACATCGATGGAAGAGTGAAGACGCTACATGCACCAAACGTTCTGTCATGATGCCGAAAAAGCAGCTATGGAGCCCAGGAAGTCGACTGGTATCTAGGACGAGTGTACAGACGTTGTTTGTACAAGCAGCCAATCCGAGGAACGTACAATGGAAGAACTCGCACCACTATGCCTCATCCGGCGTTCGTTGCCTGCATTGGGAAAGCTCGATCTCTTCGAAGCATATGCAAATGAGGGTACCGACGGAGTCGCCGATAGTCGTGCGTGAACTCCGGCGTGCGAGCCTGGGTTCCTTCTTCGCGCTGTTGTTGGCCCTTCTTTGTTTGGAGTGATTCCGGCATTTCATGATATGGCCGAAGCCGAAGTTATCACCCTCTCGGCTGAGTCACCATTGTCTACTGGGTGGCCCATCCAGACAACCATTCTGGGAGCAGGTGGCACTATATTCTCAGCACTTGGACTCAGACAGAGCGCTGCTCAAGCTCAGGTGGCTTCAGGACATCAGGATGGCTGTCACGTACAACCAACGGCCATGCCTTCAGAGGATCTCAAGGCTAGGCTGGGTGGAAGGCCGTGAGCTCGTCGACAGCAGATCGGATAAGGTGGCTGGTCGGTACTTTGGTGGTCTGAGGTACGCTCTGCCTCCCACAGGCAGTCATCGATTTCGGCGTGCGCTTCCACTGCCTGCAGACTTCACTTATGGCGACGAACGAAACCCTCGGCCGCACTGTGAGGGCTGCAAGATATGTCCACAGCCAGGGTGGCCAGGCGTCCAGGCTGATACTCCACGAACCGAATGGGATGAGGATTGTCTGCAGGCCAACATCTGGGTTCCCTCTAAATCGGCGCCAGAGGAAGGTTGGCCTGTCTTGTTCTACATTCACGGCGGCTTCTTGCAGTTCGGCTCTGCGTCCAAGAGCGTTGATGCCATGGCCCAGATGTTCCAGGAGACAGACTTAAACGCAATTGTTGTAGGTCCTGCATATCGAGTCAATCTCTTTGGCTTCTTGGCAAGCAAAGAGCTATCGTGGGAGGCGAAAAAGGAGCAGGAGTCTGTCGGCAACATGGGCTTTTGGGATCAAAGAACAGCTTTGGAATGGACAGCGGACGTCATTGGGGCCTTCGGAGGGAATCCCAACAACATTACCATCGCCGGCTACTCTGCTGGTAAGTGTCAATGTACTTGCTGCGTCACTTCTAACGTCAGATGAAAAGGAGCCCATTCTGTTTTTCAGCAACTCTCGTACGATCTGTTCTTACCAGACGCAAAGTCTCTGGTCAGGAGGGCGATCATGTGGTCCAATGGGCCTGGAGTGCAGCCCAAGACACTGGAAGACCACCAAATTGGCTTCGACGAACTGTTGGAGAAGCTGAATATCTCATCCTCGGAGTCGCCATCACAGAAACTTTATTTACTGCGTCAAATTCCTTCGTCGAAGCTGATTGAAGCCGTGGAGGCCATGCGAAGCTCTCAATTCCGGGGTCTATCTGATGGTCACTTCATAGACCCAGCACTGATAACGAAAATCAACAACGGCGATTACGGTGCACGCATGAAGAGGCGAGGAGTTAAACTCATGATGGGTGAGAATCGCGACGAGCATAATCTCTACAGAGCCTGGAAGACCCCCGAGAATTCATACCAGGCTGTATACGAGCGGCTCTGCGCAGACTATCCAGCGTCCAAGGTAGCGAATATACTGAGCTTGTATGCTCCGGGGTCTGAATTGTCGAGTAATTACAGTGACTGGGTTGATCTCTTTGGGAAAGTCTACGCAGATATACAGGTTCATTGTCTCGAAAGAGGATTTGTCGATAAGCTTGCGAAAGCAGGACTCGTCGTGGGAAAGGATGTCTTGAGGTATCGATTCGAATGGCGTGCGAAGTGTGTCGATGAGGTTTGGCCCAAAGCATGGGGCGTGACGCACGCAACAGACACTGCAATCTGGTGGTGGGGTGATGGCCAAGGCGACGGTCTTGAGGACGAAGAGAAGCGCATATTGAAGCCATGGCATGACATTTTTGCCCGCTTTGTTGCTGGGCACGACGTCCAATGGCAGAGAACGGGCTCGAGTGTGGTCTTGAGACTAACAGATCAAGGCACCATGGATCTGTGGGACGACACAAGATACGACGAAGGTCAGATCATATGGGACATGGTCAACGGGAAGGGAGATATGCAGGCAAGGATATAGCAGGCGCCAGGCTACTCAACTGCGTTGCTCAGCAGAGTTCCATTCTTCAAGCGCCTCAGGTTTGTGCTTCTCATCTCGTCACCTGCTGTATAGTAAAAGGCATGTCAGTGCTGCTGCCTAGGCCTTACAGAGCTTGGGAATGTCTCTGATGCCGTGCGCGACGCTATCCTGCATTATTTTATACATGTAGGCTTAACGACGCCATGTGGGATTGGATCATCCTCATACTTCGACCGTCCATTCCAGCGTCTACTCCAGCTTCTTCTTGGGCTTGATGACGTTGGTGAGGTCGAAGACTGGCGGGCTCGGGAGCGGGAGCTCCATAGTATCGATTATCATGCCCAGGAAGAGATACCAGCCCAAGATATCCGCCGCAAAGAACCCTGCACCGGTTGCAACAAGACATGTAGCCGCGATGTCCGCTTTGCCTTCGGCGGTGTAGAACAATGCAGCTGCCGCGAAACCAAATCCGGTTGTGGCAGACACAAAGATGAGCACGAAGATCAGGTTGGTACGAAGTGCTCCCAACAAGAAGATGAGCGACAGAATTCCGAGGGCGATGGGATAGTAGCCTGTTGCACTTATCAGCACCGGAGATGGAGTCGGGGTTCAATCTCGTACCAAAGCTAGCTGCAAATCCCGCTGTGGCCTTGTCTGGATCGCCATCCGAATAAAAGGCAACGGCGTTGAAAGATGGGACGAATGTGGTGGCAAAGGTCAAGATGTGGGCACCGTAACCCATGAAGACTAAGAAGGAAAAGTCGTTGCCCAGGAGAAATTCACCTAGACCGGCAAAGAACAGGAGGAGTCCACCGAACCAGATGCTGCAGGCATTTGTGGCCGAAGCGAAACCTCCTGCGCCGCGCCAGCCCACTGTTCATTCATGTCAGCGAGACCGGAGCTTGACGAACGAGCAAGAGTCGAAAGCGCGTACTCAGCTCAATTGACAATGGAAACACAGCGACTGAGAAGCCCATGATGCCCAAAGGTGTAGGGTTGGCGAATCTCTTGCGCAGATCACCGGGAACTTCTCGCTTCGGGTTGAGGTACAACTTCTCGAACAGCTCTGGCGATGTTGTCATGGTCTTGGTGAGGATCTCTCGAAAGTGATCTTCTGAGTGGATCACGTCCAGGCGGTTGCCGTTGCTATTGCTGCTACCACGTTCCATAGCTTCCGGGTCGTTCTTTTCTACGTGGTGGGCCATTATGAGCAACGAGTTGTTCTCTTGTTGGCTGGGAGTTCGTTTTGCGTGGTTCGAGGGAGACAAGAAGGCGAAATCGGGAGCAGAAATCGAGAGACACAGGTTGAAAGCATGTCCCGCAAGGGGTCGGTTGCTCGCGTACACGTACTCTTCGGAAGAGCACCGCACAGCAGGCCCAAGCTACGCATCTCCCCGCAAAACTCTCCTCTTACCCCAGAATCTGTCGTGGCTGCCGTTATGGGAAGGTCGTCGTTGCGATCGCCCAATCATCGCGACTTGCAGTTCTCGGGAACTCGCCGTCTGAATTGGAGAATCTGACACGATCGTATTTGGGGCTCTCGGAAAGTCTTTGAAGAGCTTCAAGGGTTTCGAGATCGCGCCAGCGTCTTCCCGAGACCGTCATGGTGCGTCTTTAAAGGGCATAAGGTTGTAGCGACAGGAACTGCATTCGTGCGAGAGTGAGGAGTAGATTCGAGTTGAACTCACCTACGTAATCAATGCTCAATAAAGCTTGACGCCGCCGAAACCTGATTGCTTGCCATCTATCGAATCTTTGACGAGCACTCCACATTCGACGATGCCTCCGCATCTTGCAAGGGCGGTCTCGCATTCTGTGTTGCATCTCACAACGTTGAACTCGCAACCACAATGATATCCGAGGGAGCTTCAGTCCAGACCGGGTACCAATCTTGAGTCACAAGGACGACAGTTTCAAGCCGATGCGCCAACTCATCCTTCAGCCATTGTGATCACAACCATGTAGCGAAGCGCCGCGCGGAGACCCGACAGGAGTAAGAAGCGGACACACGCAATGGAAGCGTGCGGAAAAAGAGAAGAGTCATTTCGCAGGAGAGCAAAATGATAGTGGGAGAGTGCGCCTGGACGGCTGGAGTGATATGTACCCTTGGCACCTGTCCGACTCTACTCCAACTCCCACGTCTCTTACTTTTGCTATACAACTATACCAACGCCAACAAGGTACGCGTCAACGAACGATAGCCATTTGGACTTTCTTTCTTCAATGATGCCGGCTCGACGGCGGCCGCCGCATTGCTACTTCCCCTCAACACATGGAGGAATTTCTTAGTAATCAGCAGACCAACTCGTATTCGACGTGAACGCCCTACCTTTGACACTTGGCAGAACAGAGCCTTGTCTACGTCACCTTCGTCCACGACGTCTGATGGCTCTGCACTCCGGCAGCGATCGATCAATGAGAATGCCAAAAGCCTCTTCAGCCGCAGCTTAGCCAGTGTGGCCACTTCCAATACTGCTGACGCCTTGCAGATGACTGACGCACGCAGCTTCAGGTGATCTTGATTCAGGAAGTCGCATCCGTACGCTCTGCCGATTCTCATCGAGATTCTGCGGTCGCTCAATGCTCTTACCTGCAAGGCTATCCTTCGCGGCCATGAGTAATCCGACGACTTCCAGAGTAGTCCAAATTTTTAGGACATGCCGTCGCAACACGATGCCATCGACGCAGCAGCCGACGCCTAAAAAGCAGTATGCGACCTGCGAAGGTGGTTGTGAGGCTCTCCATACCCACCTTTACCATCTGAGCTACGCAAGATGGCAGCCAAACCCTTCTCACTGATTCCCGAATCAGCTCGTGGGGAGTTCATTCCCTTCGAGGTCGATGTACCTGCGAGCGAGCTCGACGATCTGACGCTCCTAATCAAGAGATCGCGTGTCAACAGAACGACGTTCGAGAACACTCTTGTCGACGGTCATTTGGGTGTCAAGCGCGAATGGCTGGTTGAAGCGCTATCGCATTGGACAGATAAATTTGCCTGGTCCGCAATATCGCCCCCGGACACCCTATTCCTCTGACAATATCCAGGCGAAAGCATGAAACGTACATCAACTCATTCCCTGCGTACCATGCAAAGATCACCGACGATGATGGGAGAAAATACAACATACACTTCGTTGGCCTTTTCTCCAAGCGAAAGGACGCCATCCCTATTTTCCTTCTTCATGGCTGGCCAGGTGAGATCGTCCCTAACCTGCAATTCTTCGCCGCTGACTCGCAGTCAGGCAGCTTCCTTGAGTTCCTCCCCATGCTCGACATTCTGAGAAACCGCTACTCGGAGCAGGACCTTCCCTATCACCTCATCGCCCCGTCTATGCCAGGCTACGCATTCTCATCCCCTCCGCCCACCGACAAGGACTTCTACCTCAGCGACATCGCAAGACTGTTCAACAAGCTTGCCACGGAAAGCCTTGGCTTCAGGACGTATATCGTGCAAGGTGGTGATATCGGAAGCAAAGTCGGCCGAGTGATGGCAGCCGAGCACAAGGCATGCCAGGCCGTACACATGAACTTCTGCATCATGCCCAAACCAGCCACCCTCCGACCTGGTGCAGTCATCTCAGAGCAGGAACAGATCGGACTGAAGCGCGCAGATGCATTCCACAGGCTCGGTTCAGCGTACGCTCTGGAGCATGCCACGAAACCCAGCACCATTGCGCTTGTGGTGGGCAGCAACCCGGTATCGTTACTGGCCTGGATCGGAGAGAAGTTTGTCGACTGGACTGATGAGACACCCGACATCGATACAATCCTCGAATCGATTTCGCTGTACTGGTTCACTGATACCTTCGCGACGACGCTGTACCCCTATCGGCATCTCTTTACCCCAGGAGTGATTGGCGCGCACGAGGATCCGAAATGGTATGTGCACAAGCCAATGGGGTTCTCGTGGTTTCCGAAAGAACTGGCACCTATCCCTCGAGCATGGGTCGAAACGACTGGAGATCTTGTGTTCCATCGGGAACACCAAAAGGTGTGTGTGTGTGTCTCCAAGCCCAGCTGCCACTGACACATTGCTACAGGGAGGCCACTTTGCAGCCGTGGAACAAACGGAAACTCTGCTGAAGGACTTGGAGGACTTTGTCGCTCAGGTGTGGAGAACAGGGCCCGCGTAGACAATTATACGCCTCGGCCGAGTAAGTCGGACCAATGCCGAAACAACCTCGTCCTTGATCCTGCTCTGTCGATACACAGCCAGTCAACAGAGGTGTCCGCAATCGAGCGTGCTACGTTTTCGGAAAGCGCCATGCCCAACTCATGCACGGAAGACGATCCATATGTGCCACTATCATCCAAAATAGCCCGGGCAGCACGAACGGCACGAAGCTCTGATTCTCTTTGGTGTCCCCAGGATGCGGCCACGAGCAGTCGATTGCACATAGCGTAATATGCGAGAAACTTCCACATGGTAGCTACATCGTCCACCGCGGTCGGTAACGGGGTGCCTTCATGATATGAGCCTTTCAGACCAAAGTATGCCACAGCCCAGTCATCGTAGTCTTGAATAGTCCGCCTCAACTCTTCGTGTAGTGCTGGGCGGGCCGGTAGGCCTTGCGTCACAACAGCTTCGACTCTGCAGAAGAGCCCAGGGAGGAACGCCGAGGCCATGCAGAGCCGAACAGAACTCCAAGATCTGGGGCCAGATGTGATGTCCGAGTCAATTGACGATGCAAGCGCCCGCTGCCACTCGGGTTGCGACAGAAAGCAGTCCTTGCTCGTTAGCATGCACTGAAGGACCTGCACTCGTTAGTGTCTGTTGCAACAACGCGTTGCTGGTGCTTGCCATGATCTGAGCATGTGCCACCAGCAGTCCTTTGTGGTTCACAGAAGCAAGGCCAGCCGGTCTGAGATTTGCAAGCAACGTAGATGCGCCTTGAATGTGGACACCGAATCGTGCCCTGGCGTTAGGTTGCATGAGCTAGAGCGTCACTCATCAGTAGCGGCCAGAGTGCTTTGAGGGCTGCCTATACCTCGAACAGAGTCAAGAGCAGGGCGGCTTGCCACATCTCCCACTCCAATTGCACAACATTCCGTAGGGCGTTCGACAAGCTTTGCACTGCAAGCAGGTAGCGCGACTCGGCCAGCCCAAGCATACGATCTCTATATGCTGTGTGAGCTTGTGGGCATGCCAGACGCGCGACAATGCATTCAGAAGCTAGTTTGAGATACCTACACATTTCGCTGTCTGTCTCGCTGCTGACGTATTTCCGAGCGTCCAGCAGCCGGCCACGCCACAGCAATGCGGTCGTGTGTGCGGTAGCATCCACAAAAGTATCGCTCTGGGTCACCGTCCGCGGAATTCTCGTCGACGACAACAGATGTTGTGGCAGTTGCAATTGATTGACAACTCTAATGCCTGCCTTCTGTCTGGTGAGAGCACTTGCTTGCCGCGACTTCCTCAAGACCCGCTTATAGCTTGTGGGGCTCAGCGCAGCAGTATCCGTCGCTTGATGTTGTATGAACTCGAACGACATTGCGATTCGGAGCAGTATGAATCGCTGCTCGCAAGCCCCAGATGTGCCGAACTCCTAGAATGGTGCGTGAATGCACGCCTTTTGCCTGATCACCAGATTGGTGTGGTATTGATCCGGCGACAGATAGTGCTCGTAGAAAAGCAGTTTGCGACAGATCATCCTCGCGGGCCAGCTGGAAAAAGATTGGTACAGCTGGCCTGGGCTGCTGACTAAAGTTGATCGAACGCCTTGCAAAAGACGTTGACCACAGCCAATCGCCGTGTCCTACCAGCTTTCGCTAGGCCCAATGCAGGCATTTGTACCCTGGCAACCTTTTCTGCACTCGCCTTGATAGCATGATCCCATTGATGCTCCTCAGATTTTTGGGTCCAGTAGCGCACGAACGGGTCTTGCCTGCAGATTTGGACCTGGCAATGCATCCACCATCTGTGTTTCGGAATACTGATCACGAGCTCCTCAGTGTGAACAGACTGCGTCTCGACGCTGATGGACGGCTCCCTGCTAGGAAGGACTGACGACGGTGGGATCAAGCTGACAAATTGAATGCTTGAGCTGGCGGACTGACGGAGAGTCGTTCAGTTCATGATATAGCACAAAGATGATCGGGTGTTCGACGACGAACGATCTGCTCTGGGACAGACTTTCGTCGACGGCAAAAGCTAAGATCGTCCACCAGTCCAGCAAATTCCTGGATACGAGGCACACCGATCGAACCCAGCCACTATGAGAGTCCTGGTGACCGGCGGAAGTGGCTTTGTCGCGTCTCACTGTGTAGCGGCACTCCTTGATGATGGACATGACGTGGTCTTCACTGTACGGTCGAGCCAGAAGGCAGATCACTGGTCGAGAGCTTCGCTGGCATCCCCGACAAGCGTCTCTCCTTTGTGATCGTCGAAGACATTGCGGTTCCTGGCGCTTTCGATGATGCAGTAGATCAGGAGCCTCCACTGGATGCCGTTCTACATACTGCCAGTCCTTTCCGCTTCGACATTGCCGATCTCAAGAAGGACCTAATCGATCCCGCAATCATGGGAACAGAGGGCCTCTTGCGTTCGGTGATGCTGAAGGGCAAATCAGTCCGGCGGGTAGTCATCACGTCCTCCTTCGCGGCGATGAGTAGGGACGGCAATCACCCAGAGGTGTACAACGAGTCGCACTGGAGCGGACTGACGATGGATCAGGCCTTGAGTGGACACCCGTTCACGGCCTATAAGGCCAGTAAGCAGTTTGCTGAAGAGGCAGCATGGGCTTTCATGAAAAGCGAGCGGTCACACTTCGAGCTCACCACACTTACGCCACCTGTTGTGTTTGGACCGATTCTTCATACGCCGGACGCCTCAATTCAGTCAATACGTCCAGTCAGGGTGTGCTCGCACTTGTCCGCGGAGAACGCAAAGGTGGTATGGAGCCGTCGCCTCTCGTCCTATGGGTTGACGTACGGGACTTAGCTCTTGCACATGTCCGATCGTTGGAACGGGACGCCGCAGCTGGGCAGCGTGTTTTTGTGGTTGCAGGGTTGTATCGCAATTCTGACTTAGTCGCAACGCTGCGAAAAAGCTTGCCTCAACTGAACGCAGGTCTGCCGGAGAATGTTGAAATCCTACCGAAAGACTTTCCGTACGGGTTCGATAACGCTTTGTCGAAGGAGGTCTTGGGTATAGAGTACAGATCTCTTGAAGAGTCGATCACAGATGCTGCTCAGGCGATCTTACAGCTGGAAGGCAGGAAGTAGTGCCGTTGATATGGTCTCAGTGTTGTGGCATATCGGCATCGGTGGCCTTCATCATTGGCAACGTCGCGAAGTCGCTTCCACAAGCAGCGTTCATGTAGGCAGTGTCCAGCGGTAAACCGCACGAGTTATTGTCAGACATGTCGTCTGAGGCGGTATTTCCATCGTCTCGGTAGACATGAAGACAGCCAAAGAATATGCCGAGCGTCCCAACACAGTGTGCAATTCTGACTTTGATGGTGGTCATGACCAAACACGTGTCGCCTATGCTGTCCTGGGGCTGGTCCGTCTCCATATTGAGAGCACCGCACTAGACTGAAGTTCCAAACCAGTTGATATCGAAGCGCTGGTCGATCGGATAGCTATGCGATGTGCGCGAGCATCCAGCATTGATCAAGAAACCGAGGGAGTAAATGGGCAAGCTCCTCCATCCGTGATCGAAGTGAGAGACCAGGACTCTGTAAAGCAGTCTCCGCAAGTGGGATCATTGCTTTGGTAGCTGACTAACGCAGCACCATCGGCATCTAGGTCTTGCTAATAGGAGACGTGCTGAGAAGTCACATCGGAACTGATTTTGAAGCTGCATGGCTGGTTGCGGGTCCAGTGGATCTGTGGAGAGGACCACCTTGCTCATTCAGCTTTGAGTTTGCTTCGATGGGTCCGTCTAATTGTGCCTCTCGTCTTGGACATAGCTGATGGCATGCACCCGCCGAGCACCTGTCCGTTCGAAGCTTTGGAGGATGTGCACAAAAGGTGTTGGTAGACTTCGCTATGATGGGTTGATGAGATGCGTCGCTTCCTGCTCTTGAATGTGCGAAGGCTCGAGGCTCTCGTGGCGGAGACGCTATCCGGGCTTCGAGGCGTCATGGCTCGCGGATGTAGTCCTGCTCATCGCAGTACAGCGGCAGCTCAAGTCGGGCACGATCGCTTATTCCTCCTCTTGCTCGCGCCCGACGCGTCTGAAAGAATAGCAGAGCTGTGACCGCGACGAAGCGGACGTTCCAATACCATAGCCGTACACCAGCCTGAGATCATCGCGCACGTCGGGAGACTGCATGCGTAGCTTTGCCGGCTTGTCGTGATGCCTGCGCGTCGAGAGTTTCTACCGAAATCGGGTTCTGATGTCGCAGCGAAATGCGTCGTTCTCGGCGAGGCCGCTGGGTCGGGTGTCTGGAATGCGGATTACGGAACCACTCAGGAAGACGCTCACAGGAGAGACGCGCCCAGCGATGTCGGGTCTCGATACAGTATACTCGAGGTTTGTGGAGTGTCAGGTTGGTGTCGTCAAAGGATGCGGGGATATTCCGCCGCCGTTCAAGTCCATCGCTTGCAGTCATCCGGCTTGACTCGCGCCTTCTTTCCACCCCGAAAGACGCAATAGCCACGCATGCTGCAAGGAAGGAGCGGAAAGCACGCTGGAGAGAGCAACGAGCCTGATGGTAGGGCTCCCAGCAGAGCAAAGAGTCGCTGTGCAACGTCCTTGAGCTGCCCGCAACACTGAAAGCTGATTCGTCTGTATAGATATATTTCACCTTGAGAGCCCTACAGAGAGGCAGCAAATACGCGGAACGCCACGAAAGAACAAGCGGGTTTCCGTCCTACACCCATCAATAGTAGTCGGCGGCTACGTGAACCGATATAACTTCAATGCTCACTTCCTCTTCCACCCGACACGCCCACCAACGTTGTCCGTAAGGTTATTGCACGGCGCCTTCAGCAAAGCCGGTTGACATCACTGATGTTCGGGCCCGCTACTTCTTTGAGCTATTCCGCTGCTTCACCTTGCAGGTCCGGCCTTATGCTTCAGGCCGGGGAATACGACGAAGTGGCTAGATCATGCGGACACGAAGCAACTGGCGGACTGTTGAAAGCGTAGAGAATCCCGAGGGAAGTTACGAACGCTACGCTGCCAGTATTCGCGCCATACCTGTCCAAGCTGTGGCTTTCGAAGTTACATTCTGTTCATTCACACTCGCCATAGTCCCCGCCCCTGTCACATCGTTTCCAACAACAAAATCTGCACTGTGCATCCAGATTTCCATCGTACGTTCCGCTCGGAGTTCCTCTTAGCCTGCCGACGCGCAGTCAACAGTTTCTAGCTGATACCACGGAGAGGTAGGAACTCATCATCAGCCAAAATTTTTGGGGTTTCTTCCTCCGACACGGTGTTGTTGATCGGCTCAGATCAGCACGCCGTTCCCAACGTCAAACAGAGGATTTGCCTCCCCTGCCACCTTGCCTGTCTGCTTCTTCTTCTTGACTATCCACCGTACCTGGGATCCATTGATAGTCACCGTACGAGGCTCTTGCTGCCCCCACTTGCGGCTTCCGTCATCCGGTATGATGCCTCCGATCCGCGGACCATATCCAGAATGCACACCCGGTGCAAGATACACAAAGTAACAATTCTGCTTCTTGTACTTGTTGCAGAAAGGACAGCTGCCACGAGTGCTCGTTGGCCCACCCTTGACTTTGCCGTAGCGCGCCAGCTTACCAAAGAAGCACTTCCCTGGCACCTCAGCTGCGGCCGTCATCGCCCCAATGCAGTACTCATCGACGACCTTTTCCAGCTTCGCAAGATCTTGAGCCACTTCCATTCGATGCCTCAGTTGTGCTCTGAAGTCCTCCTCGTCCTCATCTGTCGCTTCGAAGGCCAGCAAGAAGAGCTCTTCTGCCGTGTCCTTCCAGTCCGCATGATGTGGTATCTCATCGTCTGCATCCGGGTCATCCGCCACGGCCTCGTACATTTCTTCATCATCGTAAGCTGCCACATCTGCTGCGTCGCCCGTCAACCGTTCATCCTCCAGTAGGACGTCACTTACCGAAGCGCTGTCATCCGACGAAACGGCGGCTCCTTCCTGCTCTGCGCGTACTGCACCTTCTGCGTCAGCACTGTGGGCTTCAGCTGGCAACGACCAGTTAGCTCCATTCCTCCGCAATAGCTTGATCTCACGTCCACTGAACTTGTGTATCAAGTCACGCACCTCATCCTCCGAGTCACGCATCTCATCCTCCGAGTCACGCGTCTCATCCTCCGAATCGTGTATTCCACGGCCTGACTCGTCCAACTCATGTACTGGCTCATACATGTCATGGCCCGGTTCGTCCACGTCATGTCCATATTGTTCCTCCGCATACACCGACTCATCCACCTCATCTTCACGGCTTTCGTGATCCTGCTCTGCTCCAGCGAGATCACGCTGGTCATCTCGCACATTGTAGTCCAGGTCATCTTCGACCTGCTCGACTTCACTCACATTCTCATTCGAGTCAGCCCCAGAATTCTCTGCTCCGTGCTGCTCGTCATCATTGTCGTAGCTCTCATCTTCGCCACCGTACAGCAACTGCTCATCGCCGGTCATGCCATCGGACATAAGAACATCATCTTCACTCCACTCCGAACGACCATGGTCGGGGACCCAGGATAGCTCATCCTGCGGTCTTGCTGCAACGGCACGCTCGTCCGCCAGCATCTCTTCTCTCCGCGCATCAGTCGCACGCTCATGCAACGCACCTTGCTCCTCATCTGCGACTTCTTCTGCTTCATACTCATCGGCGACGTCGAACAAGGTGCTGGGTCTTGCATCATACTCGTCCGCAAATATCTGCCACAGCGCACCTGCGTCCATGAGTGTATTGTACTTCTCTTCAAGTTCCACTCTTGCGTTCTTGAGCTCTATCACCTTTCTGTGACTCTCTTCTTGCGCACGTCTGTTGCTCTGCATCTGCTCACTGACGTCGAGGAACTCCTCACCATAGAGAGCCTGCGCATAGCGGCTGGCGAGCTCTAGCAATCTCGCCGCAAGCGCTTTCTGTTCACGCGCGAGTTCGTTCATCTTCGTGCTATTCTCCATATTAGCGCGTTCAATTTCACTCATCTTCTGATCAATCTCATGATACACATCTTCGAGCCACTGCCCGGGATCACGCATCGCTTGTGCCAACGACATCTTGTCGATGAGTTTGCGGGATGTGATGATGGAGAGACGAGCTCAACTGCCTTTGACGCGTCCGGAATTTCAAGTGCGGGGAAGGTGCGGACGCCAAATTGACGGGCGAGCACGTGATCAAGGAGAATTTGGTTGCCCAGGTGAGCCGAGGCGCAACGCGTTGTCGCGTCTCCCGCCAGAAGAACTGCGCTTGCTCTGGCATCGTTCTGACGAACACATTCTACCAAACAGCTCTCGGCATCAACAGCATGCCCAGCTACAAGCCCCTACATCGTCCTCGGTGCACCAACCAGATATGACTGTCCATGAGACCGAATCGAGCACTCATACATTGAGTGCTTCCTTCTCGATGCTTCTCAACCTCCATAAGGCCACTTTCGCACCCTCCGAGCCACGTCACGTTGACGCATGTGGCTGTCAAGAAAGACTGCACACCTTCCGCCGATCGAAAAAAGCCCCGAGTTGAGAAATATACTATGCCACATTCTGAAGAGAGCCCAAGAGAACTTTAAAGCCTGCAGCATTGGACCACGGTTCGCTGTCACGCAATGGGCGGTGTCAGCAGCGCACGACGCTTTCGGTATGGTAAAGGCAAGCAATGTCTACATGTACAGCCTGGGTAGATTCACGAGACGTCTGCAGCCGGTGAGTGCATTCAAAGAGGAAGGGTGGGTGGTTGAAGAATGACACTAGAAGCTGGCCGTGAGGACTCGGTCGGCGAATGGATAAAATGAATTCGATATTGTGCCATTTCTTGACTCTCGGCCGTCCAGCCATACCGTCGTAGAATCTAGCGCGCCAGATTTCGACGAACTGGGGTGGCGAAATGCTGCCTCAGCATCTCTTTGACCTGATCAAGCTTGCTCGCGTCGCTCGAGGTCCTCATATGGATGCGGCGATGCTTAGCTGTGTGCGTTCACGACGATCGATCCGCGTTGTAGCTGAGTATGGAAGCCGCGTGGTTCAAACCGATGAGAAATGCGGATGGCGAGGAGCGAAGCGTGGGAGCGTGTGATTCGGGTCGGACACGGGACGACGATGGTGTCGAGGACAGTGCTGAGTGGTTGCGTCCATGCGGCTGAGCTGTGCCGTCATGCTTGAACAAGAAAGCCATGCATGCAGCCAGTCCATTGCCGATATTGGACGTCGTATCTGGCAAGTCTTTTCTGTGCTGGCGCTCTTAGTCTTTCCTGCATGTACCAGCGCGAGGTCGTTGGCTTACCTGTGTCAAGGAGTAAGTCTCATAGGGATTGTTCACAAGCTGACCTCTACCAAATCGGATTTGCAAGGCAGTAGTCCCGAGCTTGATCTTCAACGTCTCGTGACCAGCTGTCACGGAGCCAACCATCAGCCAGTAGACGAAGGACCACATCGGGAGACTTTGTCTGCATCAACCGTTGGGCTCGTTCAAACCACCTCGTTCGTTGTCGTTGCCGCTGTTTCCGCCGTTCTCGCCGGGCAGCTCTCGCCGCCTTTCTCTCCCTCGCTTCGGATCTACGTATGTCGCCATAAATCTCATCCATGGCTTTCTTGGCGTTATGCATTGGTGATTCAGCTGCTTCCGCGCGTTCGGATTCTTCGGCTGTCGTTTCTGACACGTGGACTGGGGCATTGTCTTTCGGACGTTGAGTGGGCATTGGCACTTGCACGTCGACAATGCGAGGGAGGTTGGTGGGCTCGCCCGTGAACGTGTTTCGAGCGAGTCTCGTTGGAGGGGGCGGAGCGTTCGACAAGCAGCTTTCGTTCACGCATCTGCTCAAATCGCCGTACGGTGGCTGATATTGCTGACCGCAGGAGAGGCACATACGTACTGTCACCGTCGTTGGTGTCGACATCGTTGTTGTACCGGAGAGAGTTGACGGAGGTTGTGGGAACAAGGCGAGCTCGGGAAATCGCATTTTGTGAGGCGCTTGGCACGAGACTGCGCAGTTTTACCCGCATGCAGTTTCTGTCACTTGCTGGGCAAGTTGAAGCACCCATTACTCTGCGACACGTACCACCGCAGTCACACATCTCCTCAACCTGTGATCGTTGTAATACCGTTTTCTCCCTCCCGACGGAAAGTTCCTCTCGTGAGACACGGCGATTCCTGTTTCCAGCCCATGAAACATTCACAGCTTTGACGCCAATGGCTGACGTAGATCCGCAAGCAGCGACCGCATTTGTTTGTGAGTCTGCTTGACGATCTCCTTCGCTGGCAAGACGTCTTTGATCAGCCCGATGGAAGCGCTTGCATACGTAGCTGTCCTTCCGTCCGGACCCCAACCACGGCCGGCTTTGACTGCTTCGTCGTGGCGTTCCTTCAACGTCTCGAATGGCGTTCCGGCTTTCTGGTCATGATGCGACTGATTGATGATCGTCCGTGGAGCATACTCCTTTGGCCATCCGAATGTGCCTCGAAGGTGGTTGTAAAGTAGCGTGCGCGTGGTGTTTAGTCCTCCATCCGAAGCTCGAACGATCTCGTCCTGATATCCTTTGCCGATCCGTGCTTCCGAGGATGCCAAAAATCGAGTCCCCATCGCAACTCCGTCGGCACCGAGGCACAGGGAAGCCGCCGCACCTCTTCCGTCCACAATGCCTCCAGCAGCGACGACTGGAATGTCGACGCCACGCTCGTGCAGCAATTCCACGACTTCCGGCACCAAAGTGAATGCTCCGAGTCCATCTTCAGCACGACCATGTCCACCGGCTTCAGCGCCTTGAACAACAATGACATCCGGATGCTGCGACTGATCTAGCAGTCGCTTCACCTCGCCGAGCGTGCCTACCTGAATCCAGATTGACGTCCCATCCGAAGCTTTGCGGATCTTTGCAGACCATGTTTCGAATTCGGCATCGTCTTTCGGCGCGTAAAGCCAGACAGCGCAAGGGCGATACTGCTTAATCAATTCTGCAGCGGTCTCGAGTGTGTCGTTCCAGAGTTGGAACCCCACGCCCACAGGCAGGAGCGATGCAGAGCGGAGGCTATCTGCGTTCCGGACAAGCTCCTTCGCCGTCTCTAGGTCAGGTTTAAGGTCGTCGGTCTTCGCACCAGGTCCGATGAAGCCTAGACCTCCTGCGGCAGAGATAGCAACAGCAAGATGAGGTCCAGATAGTACGCGCATAGGCGCGCCGATCAACAGTGGAGAGGTAGCCCATGGGAATCGTGAAACGAGCTTGGTAATCCGAGCGTTCATGATTGATGAGGCCCGATTGAGGCAGCTTGGTAGGCGATAAGCACAGGCGCCGAGTCACCATTTATCGTCCGCTCCTAGACCCTGCAGACAGGCTTCCGACCCGCGGCCCGCTACAATCCTTTGGCGTAGAACTCTTCCCAACCACATTCGTAGGCATTTCCGCGGGTATACTGCGCGCCGGAGGACACACTACTTTACTAGACTGACATTGGAGATGCGCAGACATCACGCGCGAAGAGCACAAGCTATGAACGACATCATCTGGTGTAGCACCGGCTGACGGTAGGATGACTTGCGACGATTGTCCCCGCAAAGCTTGATTTCCACACCCCAAACAACAAAGCCCCCCGTTCCATTTGTCGAACATCCATCAGCATCGCATCAGCGTATGCAGGTCTATGGTGGCTCATTCGGACTCAAGTCTCGAGGAGGACGATGTGTCTCTTGGTAGGATGAGGTGTTGCCATTGTGATCGAACAACAATGACGTAGAGCGACAAAGTCAGGCAGACCAAGACGCGTTGAAGTTCTGTCATAGTACTTCCTCGCCTCAAGCCTGGTCCCAGCTTCGTATCGTCAGCATCGACTTCTTCCAAGCGGACTTCGACCACGAGAAGCCGGAGCCAAGCTGAACGATGGCGTCCGTCGTGCCGAATGGTCCGCAGAAACGCGCTCGAATTGCGTGCGTGCAATGCCGAGAAATGAAGCGAAAATGTGATGGAACTCATCCGTGCGACACCTGCCGCCGATATGGTCACGAATGCCGCTTCGCCGCCCGTACACAACTACCAGAGCCCAAATCACCACCAGCAAGGCGAATTCCCCTCCCGGCACACATTCCGCCCAAGACAGCCCGCCAACGCTCCATCGTAGCAAACTCAGGCCAAGGCTTCATCCGACAGGTCGTCAAAAACATCGATCCCGTCAACGCACCACGACTCCGACTCGTAGCTTGGAACTGTGGCACACGCGCCGAAGTCGCGATGCCGTTCATTGCGACAGCCATCACAGACTTACTCAGCCAGGAACAAATGACCAACCTCGCTATGGCATACTTTGAGAAGGTGGACCCTTGCTACGCTTTCGTTGAGCGTGATCGTGTATTCATGGAAATCGGACAACGATGGCAGCAGCCCATTCCTCCTCGAGACGTCGATGCAATGCTTTGCGGCATCGCCGCGCTAGGATCGTACTTCTCAAAAGCCCACACCGTGGCTGTAGAGCGACACTTGGTTAAGCTCGCGAAGACAATTCTTGACGATCTTGATGTACCGACCGAGCCGGACCTCTACACGCTCACAGCCTGGGTTTGCCGAGTTGTCTACGTCAGGGCTGCGTGCGAACCACTCACAGCATACATGGCCAGCTGCTCAGCTATGCATCAGATGGAAATAGCCGGTGTGCATCATGGATCTCGACCAGAGAAAGGCATTTTCGAGCTACCGAAGAAGATAGATTGCCCTCCGCAAATACTCCGCCGGCTTTTCGGAGTCGCTCAGCACCTCAACACTTGGATCTCATATGACGTCGGTCTGTCACGGGTGTCACTCACCGCGCCAGATATACCGATGGAGCCTGAGCCGCCCGGCCAGTACAGCGATAAGCTACTCCAACTTCTGCCCGACACGCTCAGCCTTGATCCGCTGGACACCCAGGACGAGGATATGCTCCGGGCTGCTCTTGAGACCCTTCTCACCAAACGCGACACCCAAGGTCCTCTCGTTATGGCTCAAGCCAACCTCTTGCTGACCATCCTCCGACGGTTGGGAAGTCTACGAATCGGCGAAGATCCGCTACTTGAGCCATCGTTGAGATTCTTGACCAAGAGTCTTGCTGCCGCACGAAAGATGAACGAAGACGACGAGCCCTGGCACCACTTGGCGAACGTTCCCTTCCAGATCTTCTGTATGCTCCTTGCGATCGACACGCCAGCCAGTCTCCGCATGGTCGACGACGCAGTGCAGACCATCATCGCCATCACCAAATCATACAACACGACCACCCTGCGGGAAGCCGCCAATACCATGTACTTGATTTTGTCCCTCCATAAGAAGCGTCGCCGTGCTGATGCGCAGATCATGGAGAGCATACTTGCGACGCCACTGGATCTGGGAGTGGCGAACAACGAGAATATGGCCGAGACTTTCACATGGCCAATGCCGAACGAGAATGAGGTAGGCTGGCTCCACTCGCTGATGGCAGAGTTTCCTACACTCCAGAATATGGAATACGGAGACATGGTCAGCTCATCCTGGGATTCTGCAGACGGTATGACTTGATCAGAAGGATACCTATGATGGGGTATTTACGCCCATGTTCCACGGAAGACCTTCCAGTACGCCAGTATGCGCGACGTATCGAGTTGTGACCGTCTGTGTCTCGGCACTGCTTACAATATCGTGGTATGGCCACACTACCGCATCGAGGAGTGCTCTGACCCGTTGCCCTCAGCGCAGCGAACGCATCAGCCTTGCGAGTTACAACACTACGACGAACTTCTCCCCGCTCGCTTTGTCCACCCGATCGACCGCCGCATCAATCTCCAGGAGCCCTTTGCCCACAACTCGAACCGGCAGTGGCATCCTATACCTCCCGTTTTCCATCAGCTCCGTCAAAGCCGCCATAATACTATCTCCGCCTGCGACAGACGTGATCGCCCAACCACTCACCATCTTCTTCGTCACGCCATCCGGCACTCCGATCTCCTTACCGGTCACAATCGCCGCATACAACTTCGACTGATCCGGATGAAGAGTGTCGAAGATATCTCGTTGCCAGAGAGCGGAAGCGACGCAGTCGAGAACGATGTCGACGCCTTGTCCGTCAGAGGTGGCGTTGAGAACGTCGCTGACCAGGCTCGGGGACATGTAGTCAAATGCGGCCGTGGCGCCGAGGGAGATGAGATGGGTGTGATGCTTGGTGGAGGCGGTCGTATAGATTGGGATTCCTGGATCTGCCAGGCGGAGAAGCTGAATCGCATGTGCACCGGTTGAAGAAGCGCCGCCAAGGATGAGGATCGATTTGGGGATCTTAAGGTCAGCAACCGAGGTGTTGGGAATAAATGGCAGCGGTATACGGAGGCCGTCATAGAGTGCGACGACAGCGGTGATGTAGCAAACGCTGACACATCACATCAGTACAGAAGACGTTCGATGCAAAGGCCGGGAACATTACGGAAGGGAAGCAGCCTCCTCAAAACTGATACTCTCTGGCTTCTTCGCCGCATATTTTGCCGGCACCACGACATACTCCTGAAAAGCACCGCCCCAGGGCTCGCCATGCGATCGGCCGCCTTGCAAAGCCATCACCTCATCGCCAACCTGCAGGCTCTTGACGCCAGAGCCGACCGAGGCGATGACGCCCGCACCTTCAACACCAAGCACATGAGGCCAGCTTTGGACAAGGATACCCAAGTCACGCTGCTTCTTGTCGAGTCCGTTGAGACCAGCAGCGCGTTGGTGGATGAGGACTTCGTCAGCTGCAAGCTCTGGTCTCGGAACGCAGGCGACTTGTTGTTTGCCTCGAAGGTGAGGAACCTGGAGCTGAGCGTATGATTCAGCCATGACACGTCAGGCTGGTCTTCTTCACAGTCGTCGCAACCACAGCTACAAAGCTACATGACACGCACTCAGCTTTTGCCCTCAGCTTTTATGTATCGTCCATCGAGGCTACCAGTCCCACAAGTCAGTCCCAGCAGGGCACCGAGGCCCTGTAGCCACCAAACGCTCGCGAGAACGTGCCTAAGGGCAGGATAGAGCCAGATCTGCCGTTTCGAAACCCTCGTCATCCTGTGCGATCACCCTTGTTTCTCTCGCCACCTATCAGGAATGGCGCCTGTACTGTGGAATCAACGCCCACCGAGAGACCGGCGGCCGCCACTAGCCCGCCTTGAGGTGCTGCGTCATGCACAATGACGATTTTGAGAAATTTCACCAATCACAACGAAGCCCGGAACCCCAGGCAGCGGATCCGGATCTTTCTTCGACATCAGCAAAATCCACAGCACGACCACCAGCTACTTCGCGATGGCCTCCATTGCCGTCTGAGGCAGGCCCCAAGACAACGGACTACATGTCTGCACTGCGGCCGCCAAGTGTGTATCCACGACAAGTGATTGCTCCTCCGAGGGAAGGCCGATTTGGCTCGGATGCCTCGACATGGATGCCTTCAAAGCCGATCATGTTTGCGGCACGTGCAAGACAAAGAAGAAGCGCTGCGACAAGATCCTCCCCATATGCGGTTACTGCTCGAAACGGAGCCTGAGCTGCAGCTACGACACTGCTGCGGCCGCCGCGGACGACACCGATCCTGCCGGGCACGCGCCGGCCGTGCTGCTGCCTCGGGACTGGCACAGGAGTGGTAGCAACCGACTCCACGGGGATGCTTCTGGTATCGCTTCGCCACCAGCAGCGAGTCTGAAGGTTTCTAGTCTGGATGCGACGATCAACAGACATCTCACAAACGTTCTTCAGGACATCAACCTGCCAATAGAAGTAGTCATCATTAGGTTCTTCCAGGGCTTTCACAAATGGCTCCCAATCATATCCCCAAGGACACTCCGCGATCAAGTCTCCCAGAACATACTGTACCTCGCAGACTCGGCACTACTGCTGCTCACGATGGCGCTATTCGTGGAATGTCCTCCAAAGGCACCTCCCCGGGATGGACCAGAAGCTGCTCTCAATCCACTATTCGTCTTCTTGAGAATGCTCACGGCGCAAGTGCAGACTGAAAGGCCACTCTCGTTGCGCCTACTTCAGACACACGTCCTGCTAGCCGCTTACGAGTACGCCTCAGGCAGGCCGGAAGTTGCCTATGTATCGCTTAACACCTGCGTGGGAATGGCCCAGGCTATGCAAATACCAGAGTATGGTAAGCTGCGGGGCGAGTTCGGCGAGCTATGCAGATCAGCTGAGATCGTCAACACGTGGTGGGCGATAGTGATCCTGCAGAGGTCAGTTCCACTTCATCTCCATCTGCATCACCGTATTGACGAGCTCGACAGACTTACGTTGATCGAATGCCGCCGGCAAATTGCAACACCAACGACACAGTTCCCCAACGCAGTCAGCCCGAAGCCGTCCGATCTCGTCAACGATCAGCCCGACGGTAGTCTTCATCGACAGTTTGAACGACAAGCGGAAGCAGCGTTCCTGTTCGATCAGTTCCTTGCCGCCAGGCTGCTCCACGACGATGCAGAGAAGATCGCAGAACTCCAGCGCGTCGACAACGAGATACTACGACTTCTCCAGACTGTAATGCGAGAAGAGGGAGCCGCGTCTCACAACAGGTTTTCCGCCGCCAGTGCTACTATAATTCGGTGAGTGAGCACGCTCTGAGCTCTTGTTTTATTTCATTTCGCCGTTTCTCTGCCTCCATGCGTTCCTTGTCCGGGTTTGATCTCCAGTGATGCAAACTCTACCGTGAAGTCAGACACACCTCAGCTTAGGCTCTCGGCGACGTTACCGCCGGCACTCTTCGGCTTTCGCACTCTTTCCTTCTCGCCTCTCCAGTACATCCTTGTTGTGTCAGTACTTGGACCTCGGTCTAACAATCCGTGTAGCTCACTCTTCGCTCTCAACGAGGAGCTCATCGCCGCCCTCTCTACTCCCAACGCCAGCGAGAAAGCCAAAGACCGAATTGAATTCTCCAAGTCTGCAATGCACAACCTGATTCGCCTGGTCATCGACACTGGCGTACACTCACTGTCGTCCAGCACAGAACCTCCCGTACCATGCTTCCTGTACTTGGTCAGGACAGCCATCGGCCACGCCAAATCAGCTGTCGCCACACATCCCGGGACGTTCGACGCGGGAGATATGGATCTTCTCTGGAGAATAGAGGAGAGCCTGACTTCGAGCCGCCGCCGAAACGAGACCAGGGAGTGAAAGGACTGGCGATCAATTCAAACAATTACGTGCCGGACCGAGTTACACTAGAAACCAGAACCCTGAGCAACACGAAACGCCAGCACCAACTCCGCCTCACCTCCCCCTCAACGCCGCCGCGACCTCCCCCATCCCCATCATCCTCTTAACAATCGCATTCGTCAACCAGAGCGGGAAGAACTGCGCGATCTTCGCCAAACCCGCATGCGACCCCCTCCACACCGTCGCCGGCGGATTCTTCCTCGTCAAATCCCTAACCACCGCCTCTGCCCAATCCTTCGCCTCGATCGCATCCTTCGCCAACCCTTCCAACGTCATGCTCTTCTCCACCTCAACCTTCGCCGGCGCAAAGATAGATTTCTCCGGGACATGCGTCTTCTGCAGGACCTCACTCGTCCCAAAGTTCGACTTCACCGCCCCGGTCTTCAGATCCACTACTCTGACGCCGAAGGCGTCTTCTACCTCCAAACGCAGGCAGGCAGCATACATGGCGATCGCAGCTTTGGAAGCATTATAGCTGGACGTGAACGGCTGCGGCGCGACTGACGAGCCGGATGTATTGAACACGACCACCCCCTTGGACGCGATCAGCTGCGGGAGGAACGCCTGCGTCACGGCAATGCTCGACCAGACGTTCAGATCAAACGTTTCCTTTGCGGCTTTGATGTTGATGTCGGAGAAGGCGGCCGTGTAGCCTGCTCCGGCGTTGTTGACGAGCAGATCCAGCTTCGACACTTTATCCGCGCACGCCTTGATGGAGGAGTCAGATAGGACGTCTAGGGTCAACGTTTCGATGCCGGCGGCGGTCATCTGGGTTAGTTTGGCAGGGTTGCGGGCAGTGGCGTAGACTTTGAGGCCGGCGGCGTGGAAGGCGAGTGCGAGGCTGCGCCGAGGCCGCCATCGGAGCAGCCGGTGATGAGGACTGAGCGTTTGGACATGATGTGTGTTTAGGTGCGGTGGAAGGTGTGGCGTGAATGGGATGGTGGTTAGGGAGTTGATAGATCTAACGGGGTATTGGTGGTCTTTGGTGTAGGTAGATGACTCTGGTACCTTTGTAGGTCGTCAAGAGAACGCCGTTCACAGTTATATCATATCCAACGCCGACGCCAGTCGGAGCGATGCTGGTCCTTAGGCTTACAAATGAGAGAATGAGATATCAGAGCACGTTTGTCAGTGGCATTTTACCTCGTATAGTCCAGCTTCCCTCATCAACATCATTAAACCTACGCATTCGGGCTGGCTGAATGGATTCAGCTTCCATCCTGCTTGGCAAGGGGATAAGCGAGCAATGACCAGACGCATAGCATTGATGATTGGTGGGAGATCGAGTCGGCTAGACCTTGGCCCGTGATCCGTGGATTAACGGGTCGGCAACTCTGCTGGCGGAGAAGCTCGGTCGCCTCTTTGGGGAATTACTTTCTTCATGTCCAATCGCAAATCTTGTAAAAGTTCCTAGGACTCTTGCGTGCTATGGTGTAGATTGGATAGTCAACGTCACCACAGGTACGAGCCGAGAACATGTTTGCGCGCGGAGTTGGGGTCGCTTATGGAACTTGGCATATATCACGCGAAGGCAGGTGGAGGAAGGAGTGGGAATTAATGCTTGTTCTATTTCTTGGTTGCGCGTGCTGCGGCCGACACCGCTAGAAAAGCAGCTGTCTGATGTGGAAGTCGTTGCTACTGTGTACATCTCATTCACCTGCCCCATGTTCTCTCCGCGAAGTCATGTCGCGCAAGTCGCACCATCGAGAGTGATGTGATCTTGCGTCTTGCTTGGCTCGATTCGATCTTCGCTTCAGGTGACGATGCCGTGACTGTCTTATTTGAAAGCGATGGACTTGGCCTCACATTCCCGATCCAGGGGAAGGATCTTTCCTCGCCGCATCGTTCTTCTTCTTATTCAAGCGCCGCTTATGGTTGTTGTTCATCGGCTTCTGCTCATGCCCCAGTCCCATAGTCGCAACGCCCTCCACAAGATCTTCCACTGCTGGCTCTTCGAGTCGAGGCAGCGAGTATCCATCGAGCACACTCGCGTGCTGCTCCTCATCCAATGCGCACTCGGCCAGAAATGCTCGCAACTCGTGTACCGCGTCGTTGCCACCGTTGTGCGAGCCGGTGTGGTCGATGCCTAGCCCTTCGATGTAGTCGCCGGCATTGCACTGAGGCTTATGTCGGTTGCGACTGATGACGTTGCCGATCGGTCCCCACTGGCAGTCGACGATAGTACTGTTCGGGAACTCTGCCAGTAAGTCAATGCCCAGTGGTGCGAGCCATCTGAGGTCGTTGCCTTTCGCGAAGAACACGAACACAATCGGAGTCTCGTTGCGATATGGTGCTTTCGAAGCAGAAACCGGAGAATCGCCAAGCGCGTGCTTGATTTTGCTGACCATGACGTTCCGTGCAGCAGCCTTGCTGATCTTCTCGGGTTTGCCGTAGAGGAATGTAAAGTCATGATCTGGGTCGTTGTGACGACACCAACCCATGTGCGGCCCGACGTGCTCGTGTTCCCTGATTATTAGGTTGACGCCACCGATGTGCTTCCACGCGTTACAGAACCGATCGCCGCGTTTTGACCAGGACAAATGCTTGGAGTTGAGGAAGGCCATGCCGATCTCGGAGACGCGACCTTGTCTGTTGAGCGCGTCGAGCTCGTAGTACCGGTCTTGTTGCCGACGCGTAAGCGACTCGCCCTTCCTCAGTAGGCTTTTCAGGCGGCCGAACTCCCTGCCATTCTTCTTGTCGAGTGCCCAGCAGTTGGTCTCGAGATCTATGCCAACGACGACAGCCTTTTCCTTGAGCCAGGCAGGTACTTTGGAGCCGTTCTCATCTGTCCAGTCCCATGCAGAGAAGCCAGTGCCGCTCGTTCGGGGAGGCGCCGGAGGTTCGGCGTTGCCGTTCCAGCCATCATGCGAGTCCCAGTCGTCATCGACACTTGTGCCAGTGCTGTTCTCGAACAGCGTATCGGAGTCGGCGTTCCAGGCAGGGGAGGGAGTCTCGCGAGCCGGCGTGACTGGGCGTGTCGGAGGTAGAGGTAGCGCCGGCTGTGTTTGACTTCGTTGCTGGCCCCTGGCGACCTGTGCCCAGGAAAGCGACATGGTGTTGTATGTGTGTTTGATGTTCTGGAAATGTGTTTGAGACTGGTAACGACTCTGGTATGTCGTCGTGCAGGGTGGTCAGGAACGGTAACGAGGTTGAGAGCTTGGAAGCCATCGTTGAGCACTATATGCTTGAGATCGACCGCCTGACGCGCTTTGTTCACGTGTTGCCGTTGTTAGGGACGTCACGCCGAAAGACCTGACATAAGGAGCGGTGATGATGTGAAGACGACAGACACGTCTCGGACAAAGGCAGGAAGTGTGAAATCGTGATATCGCTTGCGGTGACACGCGTTGGATCGCAACGCAACTGGGGCACAAAACGCATGCAAATGGGAGTATAGGTATATAGCAAAAGAGTGCCTTTTGCGGTTCAGCTCGAGCACCGTTGGAGTTTCGGGCAGTATGGTGGGAGTCTTGACAGTCATACTCAGCTCAACAGGCTGCACCGAGTGCCCGCGAAGCATGGCGCGTCTGCCTGGCGTTGTGATGAAAAGAGCCTGGCAAGACCCTGGAAAGAGCTTGCCTCAGGCCTCAAACAGCCTTGTCGTCTTATTGACAGTCGCTTTGGGCGCTGTTGGGGTTTCCCACATGGAAGTGCGCGCTTTGGAAATGCATATGTGTGCTCGGCGGAATCGAGGATGGCGGAAGTTGGTTCAGCTCAGTGGGGCGGAGCGGAGCGGACGAAGTATGTAGATCATGGCTGCAGTAAAACTCTTATGCTCCTGCCGCAAGGGCATAGCCGAAGGCCATCTGGCGACTTTGTGTTGGCCAGCAGAGGGGATGAGCTTCGAATGAGGCCAATGGCAAGGTCTTTCCAGTCGGACCAGGAGCAATGTTCACAGCGCTGTCATGTTGGCGATGCTTCGAGCATGTCCTTGTATTACGATGCCAGCCTATAGAGGCCAGAAGTATGCCTGAGACGGTCGCAGGGAGGGCTGAGACTGTGTTAGCATTGGCGATGGTATACCACAAATGGCTCTTCAGCCGGGTTGCACAAGTTTGCAAACGAGGATGAGCTGTAGCAATAGTCAAACATAGCAACGATTGTTGCAAGCCTCTTCAGACACGATCCCGCGTAGCATCGTGGTGACTCGCGAGTCTCGCCTTTGCAGCGTAGCATGCCGAAGTCTTTGCCATGGCCGAAACAATCGTGCAGTCATGATTGATGTTGATGTTTCGGTTGATCTCGAAGCGGCCATCGGAGGAGTTAGCGGAAATAGGTAGGTCATGCCGGCGACGTCACTCAGATCCATCCTTCGGCGGATCGTCCTTTGACGCCCCTCGTATGTTGGTGCAAAAGTCCCCGCGATGGCTTTGTCAACATGGGATGTAGAGTGCGAAGGGCCAAGCCTCCGTCGAATACGGCGTCCTCTGCGACCGGAGGGCTCATGATGCTGGTCTACAGATGAGTGCCTCAATGCGACGGCTGGTCTTTCGCCTGAGCCGAGCTCTTGCTTGACCGTCCCAGATTCGCAACACAGACCAACAGCTCGGCCTCTGGCGTAAGGGTCACATCTCTTATTCACCACTGCACTGATGGCTCCTGGCCGGGCGGAAATGGACAAGGTGCATCCGGAACTGGAGAAGGTACGTTGACTTCTTCCGCTCTACTTTCCGCTCTGGTTTCCGCTCCAGAACTGACGAGCATAGCTCTTCGCGAAGACAGGCCCTCCTCCACCACTCCCAGTCCCGACTCGAGAGACGGTCGGCCGCTTCCGAACAGCGTTCAACAGAGGCCGTCAACGATACAACTCATCCGCCTTCGTCAAGTCGACACTGCCGAGCCCGCCGACATGGAAAGAGCATGATATACAGATTCCAGTCAGAGACGGCACCACAATCCCAACGCGGATCTACACTCCTCCAAATCCCCGCCCAGCAGCCGTCGTCTTCTTCCACGGCGGCGGCTGGTTCATGGGCGACCTCGAGACCGAAGCTCACGACTGCCAACTGCTCTGCGCCCGACTAGGCGTCGCCGTTTTCAACGTCGCCTATCGCCTGTATCCCGATGTCGCCTTTCCCGTGCCCATCTACGATGCCTACGATGCCGTCAAGTACATCGCCGCCGAGTACTCCTCCACCCTCAACCTCGATCGCGGATTCATAGTCGCAGGCAGTTCTGGCGGCGCCACATTCGCGAGCATTGTCTGCCACTTTGCAAGAGACGAAGGCCTGAAGCCCGCTTTGACAGGCTGCCATGTTACCTGTCCGATCTTCACCGACGAAGTCCCCGGTCCCAACGGCGAGATCACACGCATCTTCGGCCCCGAACGATACGCCAGTCAAGATACGCACGCCAACGGCATGCTACAAAATCGTAAGATGAAGGAGGCCATCCTCAAACTGTCCACCTTTCCGTTAGGAAAGTCACAGCTGCTCTCACCACTCCACGCCGAGAACCATGCGAATCTGCCGCCAGCGTATGTGCAGGTCTGCGGACTTGACCCGTGGCGGGATGGAGGTATCATATATGCGGAAGAGCTGGAGAAGGAGGGCGTAAGGACGAAGGTGGAGGTGTTCAGTGGGCTGCCCCATGTCTGGTGGACGGTGTTTCCGATGCTGAAGATATCAAGAGTGCGGTTCGAAGAGATGGTCAAGGGTATGGACTGGTTGTTGAGATCAAACACGGCCGCGAAAGAGAAGTTGTAGCAGAAGAAGGAATTTCACGTGTTTGATTTGAGGATTGCGATCATACTTCCGCGGGTTGCATCGACGATGTTGTCAAGGCCTCCGCCCACTGCTATGCTACTACTCGCACCCAACGCCACTTTCTGCGGATCCTGCTGTCGAAGGCCTCCTGGACCAGGACTCCGAGACTCCTTGTTATCCAATTCTGCGATCAGCTCACTTCGCTAGAATCCGCCGTTTTGCAATCCTCGAAGTTGATCTCCATCTGGGTAACGCATCCAAGTCGTCAAGTATCGCAGATCCGGCCACTCGAATCGCTCAAACGAGTCCCAGCTCTCATCGTTCTCCATCAGCCTAAATTTCTCTAGCAAGCCGAAGATTCGAGCAACGTTATCGTTGTACAACTCTTGCGCTTCGTCCATCCGGGGGTTGTCGTTACACAACGCCTCCACTTTGTCCATCAGAGGCTGGTTGATCTCGGCCATACGGAAGTCGTAGTTGAGCAGTTCATGACAACGCTGGACGACGTTTTTGGGCTTGGGAGGGTCATAACCTGCTATGAGCACTCTTGAGACGTATTCCTTCGACACATTCGGGTTCTCGGTGGCCAGTACGGGCAGGCTTCGGATATGTCTGCACATGGGATCATACACGACATCCTTGTAGATCGTCTCAACCCAACCCTTGAGGTTTAGGATTCTCGCATATTTGTCTGTGCGGGCGCGATCTTGCGGCAAGAGAAGTTCTGACGAATCGCCAGGGTTGGTCTCCCATTCCACGACCATGTTGTACTGCTGGACCATGAGGTCGTCGCGGTGCTTGATGTGTTCTTCGTATGTAGACAGGTGGCTGGCGAGGCGGCACAGGCTGTCGTACAGGGTCTTGATGCTGGGAGGGCGATCGAAGTCGATATCTAGAGGTGGCGCCAGTCTGATGGAATCTGGCGATGCCGCGAGGTGAGCTTCGTGGCCGATGTCGAAGACAATCGGTGGCGGAGACGCCTCGCATCGGGGGAGGCCATCGTGGTTGGGTCGATGACAGACAACGCACCATCTGTTTTTGTCGTAAAAGCCGTCCATGTCGACAGTCGGGCGAGTGGGTGGAATTGTTGGTTTTGGTTGGGATTGAGCAAGCACAACAACGCAAAGTCGCCTTTATGAGATCGGAACTTGTGCGCAGGCAGCAGGTGGCTTCAAAAATGCCCGCCAAGCAAGTTGAATTTGTGCCTACCGGGTTCACCTGATGATGCTGGTGCCGATGACGCGCAGATGAGATACAGTAACGGTGGTGGCAAGTGACATCGCTTACCAGACAACATCAACTTCAGCCTGGCTGGGTGAAGTCGTGACGAGTTCCGCCTAGCCTGAGGCTCTTTGAAGCACTCGCACCTCGAACTTCCTCCGCGTTGTCGAAGTATCGATCTAATTTTCGTTCATCCACGCCAACGCCGCGCCCACCGAATCGCGAAAGCGCAGCCTCCATCACCACCGCAAACCCTGCGTCCATTCTAGACATGGCGGTCCCATGGGTGCACAAGACGACCGAATCCCGACTCTGCAAATTCTGCCCCTTCCCAACGACGTTCGAGTATCCATACTCAGCGGGTTCAAAATGTTCAGGGTGTGGGCGGGACCTGGCAGAGGTTGATCCCGGACGTGGATCCCGCGAGGCCAGGGATGCTGCCGCTCGAGTCTTCGCGTTGAACGCTGCTCGGGTATGTTGCTCACTCCTACTTGGCTAATGCGCTGTGATTGACAAGGCTGCAGGCACACCAGGAGAGATCAGCCACCATACCGACCGTCGCCACCGAAGCCAGTCTCTCGCAGAAGCTGGATCACGGAAATGTCGATCCCAACATCGCTGAGGCTGTTCAAGCGCTGGTGGAGGAGGTCAAAGCGCTGAAGGAAGAGGTTCGGGCGCTGAGGGAGGAGACCCAAGCGTCGACGAAGGAGAACAAGGAGTATGTCTACAAGGCGACGAAGCGCATCCTGCACGAGGTCGACGCAGTTAGAGCTGAGCTACCCGCTCGGAAAGAGGGGAACACAGACCAGGCTTGACTTGAGTAATGCTCTTGCTGTGGGGGTTTTGGTGCGTCTGGCATGCCTGCAGTCAGCTCAGCCGATACGCCCGGCTATTCGTCGCCAACTCTGGCAGCGCTGACATGCTTGGCCAGCCGAGGCCCAGACCGTCGACGTGTCGTAATGTGAGGCTTCATGACAGGTACCTACAGCATCCTCGTCGGTCGACCTGGACCCGAGAGGCCTTCGGGCGGTCGGTCACGCCTACGAGGCCAAGCTTCCGGGTCGCTCCTTCCTCCCTACAACGATGCACCTTAAGTATTCCGGTACTCAAAATCTGATTCAACAATGTGATTCAAGATGTCTCGATTTGCAAAGCTCAGACTGTTATGTTTTCGCCGCCACCTCTGGCTCTACGGCAATCTGTGTACCAGTCCAACGGGCTGAAAAAAGCACACGCAAACAAATTCCGACAGACAGCCGCAGTCGCTGGTAGGAGACGTCAGATCAGCAAGCTTAGACGAGCAGCGTCTGATGAGCAAGCAGAACCACCGACAAAGACTCTTATGTTGGGGACGCCCGCATGAGTTGTCAATACACCAGCCAAGCTAGCAGAGCTTTGAAATTGACACCAACGGTGTCCTAAACTGTTCTCAACGAGAGCATCAACTGTTCGGACACGAACAAGTTGCCAATGAAATTCCAACAAACTGAAGTTGATTCCGAGAGCTATGTACCGTCGATTACCCCTAACAGTTTGACCCGGGAGCTGAGTAGTCGAAACATCTTGACCACTTTTTTGCTTTTTATCGGTCGGTGTCCTGATAGTGGGTATGCGTGATCGATGCCTACAGCTTTACACAAGATTCGGTACAGCTATGGCGACTTCGACGGAACTTCCGAGTAGCTGCTCCGCCGTCTCAGTGACTTGTGGCAATCCTGAGATTGCTTACACCCTTCGATAATCGTTCTTCGACGCTTTCATGCCTCGATGGTTTACGTAGCTGAATGAGACGTTGAGAATGCCGCAGAGACAATGATACTAGTAAGCCTTCACGCAGATGATATGCAGCGATTTTAGTATGCAATGTTTGACATACAGGTTCATATCTGCTACCTTGGCTGCAATAATTCAACCTTGCTTTCCTCGCATAGTGCATCGATGTAGACTGGGCGTCCTTGACCTATGCCCCTTCGTCTACGTGAGTCTTCGTCGCCATCGCCATCGCTATCACTCGTGCTCGCACTTCTTATCCAGAGACCTACAATGACCGCTGTTCCGCGTACCCCTTCTGCATCGCTAGCCACTTGCACCCAAGCCTTAGGCCACTTACCTCATCCCTCGAGCGATCTGGGCGCCAGAGACCATGAGCATAGCCGCCGCATGCCCTCTCTCCGGGCTGAATCGACCGGTAAACATGAAGAGACATTAGATGCCGCCGTACGTGTGGTTCGTAGAAGCTTTTGGCGGGGAAGGACGCCGCAGGCTGGGCAGATCTCGGAACTCGTATTGTATGTCTCCGCTTACTTTGGCTTCTGAATTCCTCTTTCCTCCATCTTACATGGTAGCTTGTGCTCATCTTTGTGGTATTTCTCGGCTCGGCTCAGTGATCGGTGTTCGAATGGACGTGGTGCACGCCTGCATTGTGATGAGCTCGTTGATTGTTGCTTCGGTAGCTACTGGACACGACTTGACCATGACGTAGTGGACGGCTTCTGCAGAGCTGTGGAAAGGTAAGCTGGTGACACCCACGGAGTATTCTGCAACAGAGCTGTCGACTGCTATTCAGCAACGAATGCATGCGGTTGAATCTGACGGTTTCGGGCGCGTGGAAGATCGAGGTGTCGGCACCTTCTCCCTGCGCGACGAAAAAGTATTCAGCCTTGTCGCGACGTTCCCGCAGCCTCGCCCGGCCTTGGCGCACTGAAGCACTTCAAGTCGGCGACGACTTCGCAATTTTGCCCTCCTTCTTTTTTTCGGGTCAGGTGTTGGAGTCGGGTGTGGTGAGTAAGACCTCAGGATGCATTTGGTGAGTGCGTCTTCGGAATGAAGATGCTAGGCGGCGGTTTCGGAACAGGAATGCGCGTGTGTGAGCTTGTTCGGATTGAGCAAGGATGGCGACGGAGGAAGGATAGCGACCGAGGACGGATGACTCTGTCGTACGAGATGGCGATGGCGGCATACGTCATGGCTGGCATGGACTGTTCAAGAGGCACCATGCGCAACGCGATGCGCGTCAGGATGGACAGCGAAGGCTGCAGCAGTTGCATCTCTGCTGCGAAGGTCGATGACGGCGAAGACCGAGAATGACGGAGGCTCGAGATCAGCGGAGCATGAGACCAGCGGAGGATGATGACAGCGGAGGATGATGACAGCGAAGGATGATGACAGCGGAGGATGATGACAGCGGAGGATGATGACAGCGGAGGATGATGACAGCGGAGGATGA